ACCCAGAGGCGTTTCAAGGTGAATCTAGGCTCCATTGTGGCTTCCTCACGTCCCTTGCTGACGTCTAAGAAAGACAAGCGCACCAGTGGGGAAGGCACAATGATTGGCTGTCTCCTCCCACTCCCTCAGCGTGAACTGTGCTTCTAAGGCGAGCTTCATTTCAGCTTGATCATCTCACACCAGAGAAAGCAAAATACCGTAACGCACAGTACTGGTATAAATGGGATGTACCAATTTTCTACGAGTTGAATGGGAATCCGCAGAGCATGCTTTGGCTCCATGAAGGTAGTGTCTTCGTTACTTTCTCTAACCAGACAATCCGATAGCGGGAGAAATTCTCTCTCAATTCCCTAAGATCATGAATGGCTTAGAGTAAGCCAGTCGCTCGTATCTTTTTTGAAACATTCGCGTGCTTGCTAGGTCTACACGACAACCTCCAGGACCTGCGCATCTCCCCGTGGGTGAAAGAATTGAATGTAGCAGCTTTTTTCTCCACTAGCTGAGGATGTACAGTCCAAAATAGCGAAAACGGGGCGTGATGATGGCTGCTCCTGTGCCGGCTCACCTCTTTTAGACGAACGTCTCTGCATTTCTTTTGCATGGCCCTCGCAACTCTCGCAGCCACGCCCCTTGATGCCTTCAGGTATGAGCCTACCACGTCGTCTAATACTGGGTACCTCCGCCGCTGGGATGACCACGTAAGGTCTTCAAAAATATCCTGTTGAATTGAATTTCATCATTTGCACTTTCAATAGTAGACATGCGATGATTGATTGTCGTCATCATTTGGAGTTGGGGGTCACTCTCTGCGATCTAATACTTCTGCACCCCAACGAGGAATCCCCCCTCTCCCCCCAATTATCTGCGAAGTGCTTTCTCAAGGTCACTCCAATCTTCAGTGCGTAATAATTTTTCGTCAGAGAACTAACGTGATTAATGAATGTTCAGCTATTCGTCTTCCTCTCAACAATTCTGACACCATTCTCATCAACACCGAATCTCTTGGGTTCTATCGAGTCAACTATGATGAGGAAGGCTGGGCTAGAATTGCTCGTCAACTGGACGTCGATCACACGGTATCAATTGAGTTATGTTTCACGGTGTCGTTCGGGAGATTCATGTTGCGGCTGCGCGACGTTTTGAGCGGTGTCGCGTACGCGGTACCCGAACTAAGCGAATGATTCAACGTGAAAGTGCTGCAATATTTGATGCCAATTGGAAAATTGCCAGCTTCTCCGGAGTCACCCGCAACGTGCACTTTCTGAACGACACCCAAAATTTGGAGCAGCTCGGCTTGGTGGGGGCGTCATGTGGTACTAGCGCAGGGCATATTGTGGAGACCTGTAAACCGAAGGCAGATGTAACCTGTTAATTATTAGGTTGTCCGGAAAGTTCTCAGCGTTTTGTGTTACTATTTTTTGTACATTCATTGCTGATTAAAAACTCATTCTCCCTTGCGTCTCAGTAGTACATCCTGAAGAGAATTTTTGCGCTATCTGATGGTATAATTGCCGTTTCACCATTGCTTGATAAACCCCCTTTCCCCAAGACTTTTTGAAGCATGTCAAAAGAGCAACTTCGGACTATTTACCACTTTGCTGCCCCACGTCAACCGAAGTCAGTGGCCAGCTCTGACCCGACTTTTTTCTCCGTGGGCAGATTATCGCTCTACATGTTTGTCTCTCTGGGGTAGTTTGGACGGCGCGTCTCCAAGAAGCACCGAATAATCAAATTCGCTCAAGCCAAAACTTCCTGCGCGCCGGTGCGCCACAGGCTTTATATCGATACTTTTTCTTCAACCTCAAAATGTGGGTCAATATCCGCAGTTCAGAACAGCTCGACAAATTAAGCAGGGTGGGGGCCCAAATAGTGTTAGAAGAAGCACTGCTGCGACGATGGTTCACAAATTTCACTTTTGGAAGATCTCAGTCCTGAAGCATAACCTCGCTATGCGGTCGACCTAAAGCAATATCTGACGAGGATTTGAAGGCGTTTTTTTGGAGGCTGACCCATCCCAAACAGTTCGAGAGATTGCAGAAAAGCTAGGCGTTGGCAAATCCACTGTTGCGGATGGTCTGAAACGCATTGGGAAGGTGAAAAACTCGACAAGTGGGTGTGCCCCACAATTTGAGTGAACTGGCATCAGCTGCGTCGAGATTCTTCTTTAACTGCTTTTTACTGCCTAACAAGAAATGACCCGTTTTGGACGGCGAATTGTCACCCTGTGTGAGAAGTAGAATCTCATGTATGATAACAGGGATCGTTCTGGGCAGTGGGTGGATTGCCGAATAAATCCACCGATGGCACTTTACAAAAACCGAAATCTTCACCGAAAAAACAAAGAGTATGGTCAGCAGTGGTGGTGGTCATCTGCTGATGTCGATCCACCTAGCAGACTTTTTGTCACAGGCGCTAACATCACAACGGAGCCTAGTAGTGTAAAAATCGACGAAAATACTACCGCGAAAGATTTGCGTCAGCCTGCAGCCAGCCACTTGTCAACAGAAGGATTGGAAGTTCTTTGCATGAGACGAGAAACCGCTCACGTTCGTTTCTCAAATCAGCTATCAAATAAATAGAATTGAATTGTGGGGTAGAGTTTCTACCGTCTCTATTGCTCCAGACCTTTTTAACAACCCGACCTATCAACCTTTTTCAAATCATGTTCAAGAACTCCCTTCTGAATACTTTCATGGACAGTCAGGACCGTGGCAAAAAGCCTTTCTGTGTGCATTCCGGGATTTTCGACCCCTAGTTTTCTTGCCTTGATGGTATTTATCGAGTGGACACCACTCTTGCCAGTGTGGTGAATTATGTTCGATGATCCGATCGAGTATTAAGAAAAGTTATGACCGCTTGAGGCGAAATACTCAAAACGTCATGAAACTTTCGCGGACAACGCTACATAATTTAGAAATGACAAAAAGCGCTAGCGAGCTTTCGAACTGCCCTTCCCAACCCAAACAACGCCCAAGGTTCCACCGAGTAATACTATATACTAATGGAAAACTGAACCCCGGACATTGTTTTGACATGGCTCGCTCTGAAGTTGTGGGTGGAAAGGTTCAGATCCTCAATGGTTAGTAACTGGGAGCCCTCTGAAGAGCGTGACTGCGCCGGTAGGTTTGGCACCCCGCCAGAACGTTCTCCGCTAGTTGCTGAACCGAGTTCGCGACAGCAGCTGGTGCAGAACGACTGATGCGAACGATACGACGCAGACTTGTCGATTACCGAAGTCAAAAAAAGGAAAAAAGGGGCTGGCTACGCGAACCCATCTCGCCTTGACACGCCCCATCATTCTCAGCGAACAAGAGGGGGAACAAGACGGGGCACTCTTAGCGCTACCTCAACCCTAGAAATAATTTTATCAATAGAAATTCACAGGTCAGTCAAAATTCACAGATGATCACCAGAAATGTTTCAGAAGTATTCGCAATCTGCACGTGCCAGGATTATTTCTGACGCACTAGCTCTTGCTGAAGCTGGACAGCTACCGTATGAGGTCAGAGTTGAGATAATAACGTCTTTCTCGTACTTCTGGCTCGAGCTGTCAGTACTTGCGACATTTAGACTGCGCTTGGGGTCATTTCCTACCTTCCCAAAGAAATGGACTCCTTGCCGTGGTCTGCTGCTGTGAAAGGTTTGGAGAATCTTTACAATCGCGTGTCGAACACAGATCTCGAAGAAAGTACCAAGGTATGTGAATACTGTCTAGTAATGTACTCCTGCCAGGGCACGTCCTGCTGCTAAGAAAAAGTTTCTGTGAACCACGACTCCTCCCCCCTTCAGAACTTCCACCTCCGTGCTACGTCCTCGTAATTCCCCTGATCCTACCTACCCTCTTCCTGAATCTCCACGACTTTCCACTAGTTTTGCGGTGTTTTCTCCCAAAAATTTGCCATGGAACGGGAGTAAGGTATTTAGCACACGCGGAAAAGTCAACAGCGGCAAACATTTTCGTCAAGAACAAATACGATTTCTCTTCCTCTAGCCAACCAAATAGACCCCCTTGCTGGAGATCCCCAACGTAAGACGGGCCTTAGCTCCTTCAGCCGTTTCACAAATCGGATACTTCGTGAGGTATGAGGCGCAGTTATCTGCCTGGTCGCGGGGTTCCACGCGGCAATGCGCGCAAAATCTTTCTGTAGAAATGAACAGCTTTTCACTCTTTTATTTATAAATTTCTACCTTCCAATTTATTTTAAAACACTTCCTGTTCAATATGGGTCATTCACATGAATGAGAACAAAAAAATCGGCAGTGGAAATTGAAAAAAATTATTCGCGGCGTTCGAGACGATATTGCGCCCTGTACACGGATGGCGTCGTGCCCTAGGAAAATAGGTAATTTCAAAGGTCCTCTTTGAATTTTCTCCTCAAAAGTTGTTCCCTGTAGGTTGCTTATAGCTCGAAAGTACTTCCTCGAGTTGTCTGAGGCCAGCAATCCCTTCCGTGAATAAGGTAGCTGTACCTGCGGTCTCTCCCATCTATGTGGTTCCTCCAGGGCACGCCATTGCGTTA